GGGTCATTCCTGGAAGGCGGGGGAGGCTCTTGCCACGATGTTGGTTGTTTCCCCACAGGCTGTAAAGCTTTTTCAAATAGGATCATTCTGAGGCAGAGCTCACGATCTTTTCTGGCTCTCGCCGTCAGGGAATTGCAATGGGTACGTTGTGAGGAGAGTGAGTCTCCCCCAAACAGCGTATGCAGTCTGAGTGACCATCTGTGACCGCATTTTTTAAAGCCTGAGGAGCCGGACATGGCGAACTCTCTCCTCCTTCAGCTTATTATATTTATCTTCTATACAGTTATTGTAGTATGTCCATGTGTGGTGTTTTTTTTTTTTTTAAATGTGTCTCTTGCTTTGACAGCCGGGAGAACGCCGGTTCACCAGAGTCCCGGTTTGAGGTGAGTTCAAGCCCCCTGAGGGGGGATTTTAATTAAATCTATTTTTCCTATTTCTAGTTTGGTTTTTGGGGTTTTTTTTGTTTAGGAAACAAAGGAGAGACTAACTTGGATAGAACAGGGGAAGGTAACTATGGCTAAAGAACTAAAGGGAAAGTAGTCAGTCTGACAGGGAGCTCCTGGCTGCTCCATCCGCTGACGAGGCGGTTAAAGAGGAACTGAAAGGGAGAGGGTTGAGCTGCGCTCCTCAGGAGGCGGGAAGGGCTCGAGACGCCTCCTGGGCATGCGTGGCTCAACAGGGGAGACTGCTGTACAAAGCTCCGATCTGCAGCTCAGGGCGACCCTTCACCTAGAGCGGAGCACCCACGGGGACACTACTCGAAGAAGAACACATATAAAATTGACAAATCAGATTTTAGAACAGAGGGTGGTGAGGGGGGGAGGTTAGTGTCTATGAGATAATGATACTAGGGGTGATAACTGGGGAAGCTATCTTTGCAATGGGTAAGATAATTAGCATCTTGGTTATCCTGCTTCAAAGAGACTTTAACACCAGACTACAAAGGGAAGCCTCAGAACTGTCATTCATGCTTAAATTTGACACTTTACGAATGGGCCTTAGCAAAGATGCTAATTATCTTACCCTCCCACCCTGTTCTAAAATCTAATTTATCAATTTTATATGTGTTCCCTTTTTTTGATTGTATCCCTTTGGTATCTATGGTCATGCCAATTTTCTTCCACAATTAGATCTGAGGAAGTGGGTCTGGCCCACGAAAGCTCATCACCTAATAAACCATCTTGTTAGACTTTAAAATGCTGCATAGTCCTGTCTTTTGTTTGAAGGACTTGGGTCTGTTTAGTCTGCAGAAGCGAAGAGTGAGGGGGGATTTGAGAGCAGCCTTCAACTTCCTGAAGGGAGGTTCCAAAGAGGATGGAGAGAGGCTGTTCTCAGTAGTGACAGATGCAGAACAAGGAGCAATGGGCTCAAGTTGTGGTGGGAGAGGTCCAGGTTGGATATTAGGAAAAACTTTCCCTAGGCGGGTGGGAAGGACAGGCCTGGTGTGAGGCCTGAGGCCTAGATAGCAACAGTGGAAAGAATAGGCCATAAACAAGTTGTGGTGGGAGAGGTCTAGGTTGGATATTAGGAAAAACTATTTCACTAGGAGGGTGGGGAAGCACTGGGATGGGTTCCCTAGGGAGGGGGTGGAGTCTCCATCCCTAGAGGTGTTTAAGTCTCGGCTGGACAAAGCCCTGGCTGGGTTGATTTAGTTGGGATTGGTCCTGCCTAGAGCAGGGGGCTGGACTTGATGACTCCTGAGGTCTCTTCCAGCTCTATGATTCCATGATTCCAAAACCTCCTCTAATGACAGTTCCTCAGATTTGTCACCTACAAAGAATGGCTCAGGTTTGGGAATCTCCAATATCCTCAGCCGTGAAGACTGATGCAAAGAATTTATTTAGGTTTTCTTGCAATGACCATATCATCCTTGAGTGCCCCTTTAGCATCTCGATTGCCCCCTGGGCCACTGCTTGCTTAGCCAGCTATTACTCTGAGGTTTTGGCTAGCTGTTCTTGGATTCTTTGTGGCCTTCCTCGTTAGATGTGGATTCTTCAGCAGACAGTGTTTATGCTCCTTTCTATCCGTCTCACTAGGATTTAACTTCCACTCTTTGAACAACACCTTTTTCTAGCAATGCCAGCTGTTGCCCCAGCTCGCAGCCTGCTCCCTAGGAGGGCAGCTCACATCCCAGGAGCCCTCTTCTGTCCTGTGTGAGCTGGGGCAAGCTATGGCTCCTTGAAGGCAAGGCAGCTGATCAGACCTGTGAGTGGGGGAGGGCCTGCGTGGGCACAGGAGAGGTGCTCAGGAGTGGCCATTGTTCTGGGTAGTACAGCAATGCTGAGGCACCAGTCAGAATCAGGCCCAATGCCACTGGCTCTTTGGGAGAGATGGGTCCTCCCTGGGACTCTCAGGCTCTTTGGGGCCCAGTGCACCTGGGCAGTGAGTGAGCACAGGGATTCCTAGCTGGGTGAAGCTGGAAGCTCCCAAGCTGCCTGGGTTAACTGGCTGTGGGCACTGCCTGCCGGGCCACGGAGAAGCAGGGAGGTGGCGTAGGAGCTACGTGCGTTAACTGGCTGTGGGCACGGCCTGCCGGGCCACGGAGAAGCAGCGAGGCGGTGTGGGAGCTACGTGGGTTAATCGGCTGTGGGCACAGCCTGCCGGGCCACGGAGAAGCAGCGAGGCGGTGTGGGAGCTACGTGGGTTAATCGGCTGTGGGCACAGCCTGCCGGGCCACGGAGAAGCAGCGAGGCGGTGTGGGAGCTACGTGGGTTAATCGGCTGTGGGCACAGCCTGCCGGGCCACGGAGAAGCAGCGAGGCGGTGTGGGAGCTACGTGGGTTAATCGGCTGTGGGCACAGCCTGCCGGGCCACGGAGAAGCAGCGAGGCGGTGTGGGAGCTACGTGGGTTAATCGGCTGTGGGCACAGCCTGCCGGGCCACGGAGAAGCAGCGAGGCGGTGTGGGAGCTACGTGGGTTAATCGGCTGTGGGCACAGCCTGCCGGGCCACGGAGAAGCAGCGAGGCGGTGTGGGAGCTACGTGGGTTAATCGGCTGTGGGCACAGCCTGCCGGGCCACGGAGAAGCAGCGAGGCGGTGTGGGAGCTACGTGGGTTAATCGGCTGTGGGCACAGCCTGCCGGGCCACGGAGAAGCAGCGAGGCGGTGTGGGAGCTACGTGGGTTAATCGGCTGTGGGCACAGCCTGCCGGGCCACGGAGAAGCAGCGAGGCGGTGTGGGAGCTACGTGGGTTAATCGGCTGTGGGCACAGCCTGCCGGGCCACGGAGAAGCAGCGAGGCGGTGTGGGAGCTACGTGGGTTAATCGGCTGTGGGCACAGCCTGCCGGGCCACGGAGAAGCAGCGAGGCGGTGTGGGAGCTACGTGGGTTAATCGGCTGTGGGCACAGCCTGCCGGGCCACGGAGAAGCAGCGAGGCGGTGTGGGAGCTACGTGGGTTAATCGGCTGTGGGCACAGCCTGCCGGGCCACGGAGAAGCAGGGAGGTGGCGTAGGAGCTACGTGCGTTAACTGGCTGTGGGCACGGCCTGCCGGGCCACGGAGAAGCAGCGAGGTGGTGTGGGAGCTGCCTGGGTCAACTGGCTGTGGGCACAGCCTGCAGGGCTTCAGAGAAGCAGGGAGGCAGCGTGGGGTCTTGGCAACAATCGCAGGTGCCCAAGGTGTGGACAGGTGGCAGTGCCCAGGCAGCCCAGGCTCCAGGGCACATGGGGCTGGCCAGGGGCTCTGGCAAAGGCCAACTCAGAGAGGCTGTGATTGGAAAGAGGAAGGACAGCTGTGGACTGTCTAGCTGAATGCAGCAAACGCCCCTCACTCACCACAAGCAGAGCTCGCTGGCTGGCCAGAGCCCCTTGGATCCTGCTGTCGGTGCGCAGGTCCTGCTCCAGCTGCTCCCTCGATGGCACTGGGTACTGGCTCTTCAGCCGCTGCCCAGTCACCTCCAGACCCCCAATGACCTTCAGATCCAGATGATGCACCAGCTGTGGGTCCTGGCCACACAGCACCTCCGTAGGCAGGCTCTGGAGCAGCGCCTCAGGGGGCTGGGGGCCTCTGTCATCTGCCTCTCTCAGGGCTGGGCACAAGAGGAAGGAAAGAGCAGGCCTCAGACAGCTGCCAGGAGCAGGCACAACGAGGGATGCACGTGGCTCCCTGGCACCTCAGGGGTAGAGGGCAGCAGCTGGCCCCCCTTCCTGGGAGTCCCAGTGGCCGTGCGCCATCTGGCCAGGAAGCAGCCGACAGGGACGGGGTCGGGAGGGCAGACCTAGGTGAGGAAGTCACCTACCACTGGGCTGGGCGTCTTGACTTCGGTGAGCCTCTGGCGCTGCAGGACTCTGCTCAGGCGGGGTCACTGACTTCTCTTTCCTGGTCCAGGTCACCTGCAGGGAGATCTCGGTGACTGCAGAAAGGTGCTTGGCCCCGTCCCCAGCCCCTACTGCCAGGACCCTTCAGTCTCCGGGCATGGCCATTCTGACGCCCAGCGTATGGCACTGACAACCCTTGGGTCCCTCACAGCAAGAGCGCCAGGTTTCTGGCCAAGAGCTGCTCACTTAGCTCCAGGGCTGCGGTGGAAACACCCAAGCTCTAGGCATGCTCTCCCCTCAGCAACGGCAGTGCAGCGGGCCCTTTGGCCGGTGGCAGGGTTCCTGTCCTCGGGAGTGGCCCCCACCATTCACGGAGGAAGGGGTCTGCTCAGGCCTAGCTGAGCACCGGCTGGCTTGTAGCTCACGCTGTCGACAGAGACTCACACTAAGCTCCAGAGGGCCCAGGTCAGCGTTCCATCAGCACAGCCCAGGAAGGGACAGCTGCCAAACTGGGAGTCGGGTACCAACCTGCAGGACAGACTCCACCACGGAGTCCAGGGTGCCCAGCAGGCTGGTTTCCAGTGCCTGGCTGGAGGGAAAGGGGACCAGCTGGCTGTCAGTGTCAAACACCAGGTGCACGCGGAGGACAGCCTTCCGTTTGGTACCACTGGCCTGCAGAGGAGAGAGCCAGGACACGGTCAGTCCTAGCCACATGCTGCGAGCACCGCATGCACTGGGTACCCCGGGCGTGGGGTGGGTGAGGTGATGGCCCTGGGGGTACTCTAGGCACACGCTCTTGGCTGTAACATCCCTGGTTCCAGGGTAATCACCTTGTCACAGAATGGCGGGGACTCCCTGACTCCTGCACCCCCCATCTGCAGCCAACTCGAGTGGGGGTTGCTCACAAGCACGGCCTTACTGCAGAAATCAGGGCTTCAAGCCTGGGCATCTCTCAGCACCAGGAAATGAACAAAACACGGAGGCAGTAACCAAAACTCCAAATCATTCAATTCTAAAGGCCCTTGAGGGCTCAGACCTCACCGCACGTGCTGGACAGATGCCCTGAGAGCTCTCGCTGAGTGACACTGGTGACTGAGTACAAGGCATGTGCACCCCAAGATGGGGCACTTCAGACATGCAGGCCACAGCTTCACGGGGAACCAGAAGGGGAGCACAGACTCTGAAAGGGATCAGAGCTGACAAGCAACTCCTCTCCCCCTCGCTCCCAGGGCAATGCTGGGGCAAAAAGGATGAATGGGAGCGTTGGATAAAGAAGTGAGGAGGTGTGGGGAGGCATGGGCAAGTAGTTGGCACTTCTGCATAGGACGGGGGGAGACAGCCTGCAATACTGGATTCAGTGCTGGTATCCACATTTTAAACAGGATGTTGAAAAATTGAAGAATCCAGAAAAAAGCCAAAAACTTATTCAAGAGCTGAGAAAATGCCTTACAGGGAGAGCCATAAAAAGCTCAAATTGTTTAGCATACCCAAAAGAAGATTGAGAGGTGACCTGATTATGGTGTGCAACTACCACCATGGGGAGAAAATACTAGCGGTTACAGCCGTGGTATCCAGCACGCTAGCCACTAGCCACATGTGGCTATTTGGCCGGTTGTGTACGCACTAGTGGCTACTGCTTCAGAACTAGGTGGACACCATGGGGCTAGAGGCTCTGTAAGCTAGCAGAGAAGGGCAGGACAAGAACCAATGACTAAAAGCCAGACACATTCAGATTGGAAGTAAGGCCCAAATGTTTAAAGAGCCCTCATGATTAACCAGTGGACCGCATTCCCAAGAGAAGTGGGGGTTCCCCTGTGATGGTGGCCAAGCAGAGAGCTCTGGCCAAGGTCCCAAGGCCTCAACTGAATACTGACAAATACAAAGCTGCACTCAGCTTCTGGCTTGCCCAGGGTTAGCAGTGAGACTAAGTATTAGAATTCTCCAAATCTTCACTGAACTCTTGTAGCTGCAGCATGCATTCATCTGGCCTGAGGGCATGTCTCCACTGCAGGCTGGACCTACGGGCAGCGATTGAGCCAGTGGGGGTAGAGATGAGACAAGTTGACTGCTGGGTGCCCTCCTGCCGACTGCGCTACTCCACCAGCACGAAACGAGGAAGTGGAGTCAATGGGAGAGCACCAGCTGCTGACTTACTGCTGCCAAGACACCAGCCAGTAGCTCTGTGTATGCTGACTTGTCAGTAATGCAGACAAGGCCTAAGATACCTGCGCAGGGCAGGGTCCCAAATTTGCATGGTTAGGTTCTAGGCCTGTGAAACACCAGCCAGGAGAGATGCCTTGATTCACTCGTGTGCAATGCTGGTCTCCAAGCCTGACACACAAGAAAGGCCACTGACATCAGACAGAGAAGAACAGTAAAGAAGACAAAAGACTTAATTTCTCGGCCTCCCACCCCGCCGTGAAGATAAATCTTGCAATTGAATCCTAGAATCCCAGGGCTGGAAGAGACCTCAGGAGGTCATGAAGTCCAGCCCCTGCCCAAAGCAGGACCAACCCCCACCTACATCATCCCTGTTTATGACAGCGCTCCAGTCATGCAAGTCATCCCACCAAGTCTCCGTTACTCCAATCAAATCATGGTTCTTTGACTGGACCAGGGCTTCTAATTCTTCCTGTTTGTTTCCCAGGCTTCTTGCATTCGTGTACAAACACCTTAGATACCCCATTTGCTTGCCCGACCTTCATCCAAATTAGGGGTCCTCTCTTGTTGCTCGTTCCTCGTGTTTCTTCCCGGTATCCGACTTCCTCACTTACCACAGGGCTTTGGTCACCTTCCCCCAATGAACCTAGTTTAAAGCCCTCCTCACTAGGTTTGCAAGCCTGCCCACGAAGATGCTCCTTCCTCTCTTGGTTAGGTGGATCCCATCTCTTCCTAACAATCCTTGTGCCTGGAACAGAGTCCCATGGTCGAAGAAACCAAAGCCCTCTCTCCGACACCACCTGCGTAACCATGCACTTCCTCAATTCAACGATCCCTACCCGGACCTTTTCCTTCAACAGGGAGGATGGACGAGAACACCACTTGTGCTTCAAATTCCTTGATCATTCTTCCCAGTGCTACTTGATCTGCTGTGACCCGCTCAAGGTCATTCTTGGCCGTTTCGTTAGTTCCTACATGGAAAAGCAGGAAGGGGTAGTGATCTGAAGGTTTAATCACTCTCGGTCACATCCTGAATGCGAGCTCCTGGTAAGCAGCACACCTCTCGAGATTCCAGATTGATGACTCAGTCCCGCTTAGGAGGGAGTCCCCGACCACCACCACCCCTCGTCCTCTTTTGGTAAAGAAGGACTACGCATCCCATGCCTTCCACTAGATGGTGTTCCCTTCTCATTTCTTCCCTGAGAGGACCCTGCCAAAGCATTCTCCACTGCAGTGCCTGTGGAGAGAGCCTGAAAGCAGTTCCTTACCTCTACAGGACTGGGAGATACCTGAGTTCGCCGCCTTCTTCTAGACTCTAGAGGTTACATGCTGCCAGTTTTCTTCCTTGTCCTGTACTGCCCTGACTGGCTCTTCAGCCTGTTGTGGCTGCAGGATTAAACGCTGCCTTCTATCGAGGAAGTCTCCGTCCTCTCTGATGGAATGTAGAGTTGATACTTAGGCCTCGAGTCCTCTAATAGTTTCTTCCAAAACGGTGACCAGCTTGCACTTAGTGCAGATGAAATCCCTTCTTTGTTCGGGGAGGATGACAAACATGGCACATGCTGTGCAGGTAACAGCAGAAGACCTATCACCATCCATCCCTGCCTTCCTTTGGAGAGATTCCTCAGATATTATTCAATGTCTCCTTGAAGGGCAGGAGTGAAGTGAAAAGATTTTAAAGAACGGTGACTGTCCCCCTTTCTACTCCCCTTCCCAACTCCCTGTTCGCAAGTTCCCTGGTCACTGACTCACTCCTTTATAAAGCCCTGGACTGCCTGACAGCCCCTCTCCCTGATTAAGGCTCAACCAATGAGCAGAGGCTTCGATTTCAAACCCTGATTAGAAGCTCACAGCTTCCACCTGCCAGCCACAGCACACACTCCCGGGGGGGAGGAGGGTGGAAGGGGGGAAAAAAAGCCCAAACAGTCAAACACAAGCTCAGCACACAGCAAGAAACCCCCAAACACACCACACACACTACAGACAGCCACTTCCCTCAAGGGTCCTGTATTAGCTTCCTCCTTCACCAGGAGAAATCCCTCGCAAAACTCCTTGTTTGCGAATCATGTCATCTATCTAAAAGTGAATTTTTCTATGGCCTAAATTAAAAGGTTGTCAACACTCCAGGCTTGCCCTGGAGTCTCCAGGAATTAACAATTATATCATGTGATGACACTGCCAGTAATATGTCTAACAAAAATTGGCAGCCCTATAAAATTGACATACTGTGATTTCTTTGAAATGAGGTATGCCTTTAGAACAGGTTAGAGAGGACTCCGGGACAAATCAGGATTTCCAGATACTTTAAAAATCTTTTTTTTCTCCCTTTTGTCTCTGGGGGAGAGGGGTCTGCAGCTACAGAGAGGGACAAGCATGTCTCTCTCTCTCTCCAAGACACCATTCTTCATTTTCTGTAAGTAGGGTAAGGGTTAGGTAGTTTCGTTAGGTTTTATTGTTTTAAGGATTGGGGATGGGATCTGAGATCTGGCACTGGTTAAAGATGTTTTGGCTTGTTCTTTGTAACTAAGTTCTAGGCCCATGGAGTTTCTCTGTGAGTATATTTTGTTACCTCCCTATCTAGTCATTATGTTTGCAACAGGAATATTGTTGTAATAATAAAGGTTCTTTCTTTTCTTTTATTAACCTGGCAGTGGTTAATTGTGTGCCTTGATTTTTATTTTAGGGGTAAGATTTCCCAAATGATCTTTCCCCTGATTTCTTTATCAACATTTGGGTGGTGGCAGCGGAAGTTTTATTCCCAAGATCTAGGTTTTTAAGATCTTGGGGGGAAGTTTTATACCAAAGCCTGGTAGATAAGGCTTTGGGGTACACTTGCTGGCCCCCACTTCTGCATTTATCATGCCAGAGTGGGGAAGGAGCCATGACAGCAGTCACCATTCGCTCCTGAGTCACCTGTTTCTTCTCTAACAGAGCCGTTGATCACTACCTGTTGAGCCCAACAATCTAGCCGGCTTTCTATCCACCTTACAGTGCATTTATCCAATCCATACTTTTTTAACTTGCTGGCAAGAACATTGTGGGAGACTGTACCAAAAGCCTTGCTAAAGTCAGGGTATATCACGTCTACCACCTTCTCCATATCCACAGAGTCAGTAACCTTGTCACAGAAGTCAATCAGGTTCATCAGGCATGAGTTGCCCTTGGTGAATCCATGTTGACTATTGCTGATCATTGTCCTCTCCTACAAGTGCTTCAAAATGGATTCCTTGAGGATCCCTGTGACGAAGTGTGAGGGACTCACCGGGGTCTGTCCCCGCATCCGCAGCCAGACTTGACTCAGCCAGCAAGTAGAACTAGCACAGACTTCTAGTTATAGGACCCACAAGCATTCAGCCCCTTGAGGCTCCCTGCTCCCGAAGCCTGCCAAAAATTCAACTCACCCCCAGCCACTGGTCCCAGCTGCGTAGGCAGCTCCACCTCCTCCTTCGTTCAGATTCCCAAGCAAAGTATCTGATTCTCACTGGTTGCATCTTCCCCAGGCCAGCCTGAGCCATTCCCTGTGTGCCTTCCCTCAGTTCTCCCCTAGAGATCCCACCCCTGCTGGGCACTGTACACACACACACACACACAGTCACTACAGAGCAGCACAGGACAGTGCGAATCACACACAGCACAACAAAGCACACAGTGAACACAATCCCCACTACGTCATAATCCCCTCCATGATTTTTCCAGGGCCTGAGGTGAATTCCTCCCATAGCTCCAAGGCCTGGCCCTTCCCCCAGCCTTGGCTGTGACTCTGTTCCTAGCCTGGCGCAGAGGCTGGGAAGGAGGGCAGGACTGGGAGTGTAGCTGCACCTGGTCACATGCCCAGCTGCCAGAACACCCCGTTAGTCTGGCTGCAGCTCCACTCCTACCCTGTGTTACCCCTAGTCCTAGCTGCAATCCCAGCCTCAGCCCCTTCCCTTGTCTGTGTCCCACACAACCATGGCTCCAAGGGGGCAGGGCAGGGAACGCACACCTGTATCCCGTTATTGGATTCATTTCACGAGGCATACCTGCGCCAGTCGACAAAGGCTTCCTTGTCGACTGCGGCGCGTCCAGACTGCCCCGATCTGCTGCCGCCAGCCATGAGATACTGGCTGGTTTGCAGGTTTCCAGACGCATTCCTCAGGTGTGTATTGGGCCATCTTGGGTGTGTCTAAACTACATGGCTCCATCGATGGAGCCATGTAGTTTAGACACACCCAAGATGGCCCAATACACACCTGAGGAATGCGTCTGGAAACCTGCAAACCAGCCAGTATCTCATGGCTGCCGGCATGTGAATCATGCATCATGTGACCAGCTCCAGTTTGGGAGACACCAGAGCTATCTAAGTGCCATGAGGTGTCTCCATCTTGTCTTTAATCTTGCTGCTGATCCCAGATGCAGCCTTGCGAGGGGCAGTGAGCGGGAAGGAGGCCGACCCATCCTGGGACTGCTCAGCTGGCAGTTTGGAACATCTCTGCTGAGAGCCTGCATTGACAACTGGGAGACTGGTGCATGTGACGTGTTCTTAACAACCTTACTCTCCACCTTTTCTTTCTTCTGTTAATAGACCTTTAGATTGTGGATTCTACAGGACTGGCCCGGCAGGATCTTGTGGGGAAGATCCAAAGTGTGAACTGACCGGGGATCTGGGGCTGGTTCTCTGGGACCGGAGAACCCATTCGGGGTAGGTGAGATCGGGTTCTAGAACCCCTCCCCTGTGCGCAAGCCCAGGGCTGATTGTGGCACAGGAGAGCTGGGGTATCTGAGGGGTTTTGCTCATGAGGTTCCTGCTGGCTGGATTGGCAGCTGAAGTGCTCGGTGTGGCTGGTGTGTGGCCTGTTTAGAGGTCTCCAGTCGGGGGCTGTAGGCAGCCCTGCTTTTGAGCACTTCGCCCTGAGCGGACGCCCTCGGCGGCGCCCAGACCTGGCCCGGTCCGTCACAGGGCACTGGGTTCAGCACAGGGTAACTGGGAGGAAGTCTCTGGACTGTGCTATCAGCCATTCTCTCTGACAGAGTGAGCAGGAGACAGGCCGATGCAGCAAGCCTCAGGCTTCCTGTCATTCCTGACTCACCATCATGACATTGTTGACGAAGGCCGTGACCTCCTCCTGCACGATGGAGACCAGATTCTGGCAGGTCAGGAGGTTCACCAGCTGGGCCAAGCTGCCCAGCCTCTGCATCCAGAACTCTGCTTCCTTCAGCCTGTTCTCTAGGTCCTGGTAGCAGACTCTCTGCTGATACAGGGACTCCTTGGTGATGTACAGCTTGTAGCTCTGCACCTGGGTCTGCAGCCCGTGCACCATCTTGTAGGTGTCGTCCCGCACCTGCAAGGACATGGACACAAGAGGGCTGAGAAGGCAGGTTCCCTGAACAGAGCCATTTCTCTGCCAGGGCTCAGGGTGGGACGGGCAAGGAGCCCCACATTGTTCAGAGAGACTCTGGAAGCCTTGAACTGCAGGCTCCATAGAGCAGGTAGCGGGTGAGAAAAGCCTGTGGATGGGACCCCACAACTACTCCTCTCCCAGCACTGGAGGAGCACTACAGGGAGCAGGACAGGAGCACTGGCTGTGGAGATCCTAGCTACTTCAGTCCCAGCCACCCTCAGCAGGGGGCGCTGCAGGGATCATGGCAGAAGCAGAGGCCGCAGGTGAACTGCAGGCTCCATAGAGCAGGTAGCGGGTGAGAAAAGCCTGTGGATGGGACCCCACAACTACTCCTCTCCCAGCACTGGAGGAGCACTACAGGGAGCAGGACAGGAGCACTGGCTGTGGAGATCCTAGCTACTTCAGTCCCAGCCACCCTCAGCAGGGGGCGCTGCAGGGATCATGGCAGAAGCAGAGGCCGCAGGGAGAAACCTCGAGCAGGGGGAGCTGCAGCAGCCCCTGTGTTCTGGACCAGCCCCTCCTGGAAGCGGGGGCAGCTGCCTATGCTGCCATTCCTTCCTCCCAGCTGCAGCAGCATCACAACTAGTGCCAGGAAGCTCTATCCCTGCAGTTCCCATTGGCTGGGAATCATCTCCAATGGGAGCTGTGGGGGGGTGGGGGGGCAATGTCTGCAGGTGAGTGCATGACAGCACAGAGCCACCTGTACCTTCACCACCAAACAGGAGCTGCCCCAGATAAGGGCCCTGCACCCCAATCTTCTGCTCCATCCCCGAGCCCCCATTCGCTACTCTAGCTGCCTATTAGACCCCACACCCTAACCCTGAGCCCCCTTCTGCATCCTAACTCCTAAATCCGAATAGCTATGCTTACCTGCATGCCTCCAGCTTCCATCCCGGACACAGCACGAGCCATTGTCTACGGCCAAGCACTGAGGTACAACTGCACATGCTCCAACCCCTCAGACAGAGACCTACACCTACAAGATCTTCAACAAGCATTCTGTAAACTGCGATACCCACACGAGGAAGTGAGAAGACAGATCGACAGAGCCAGACGTGTACCCAGAAGCCTCCTGCTACGGGACAAGCCCAAGAAAGAAACCAACAGAACACCACTGGCCATCACCTACAGTCCCCAGCTAAAACCTCTCCAATGCATCCTTAGCGATCTACAACCCATCCTGGACAATGATCCCTCGCTTTCACAGGCCTTGGGAGGTAGGCCGGTCCTTGCCCACAGACAACCCGCCAACCTGAAGCATATTCTCACCAGCAACTACACACCGCACCATAATAACTCTAACTCAGGAACCAATCCTTGCAACAAACCTCGGTGCCAACTCTGCCCACATATATACACCAGCAACACCATCACAGGACCTAACCAGATCAGCCATACTGTCACTGGTACATTCTCCTGCACATCCACCAACGTAATATATGCCATCATGTGCCAGCAATGCCCCACTGCTATATACATCGGCCAAACAGGACAGTCCCTACGTAAAAGAATAAATGGACACAAATCAGATATTAGGAATGGCAACATACAAAAACCTGTAGGGGAACACTTCAATCTCCCTGGACACACAATTGCAGATCTAAAAGTAGCCATCCTGCAGCAAAAAAACTTCAGGACCAGACTTCAAAGAAAAAATGCTGAGCTACAGTTCATCTTTAAGTTTGACACAATCAACTCTGGATTAAACACAGACTGTGAATGGCTCGCTAACTACAAAAGCAGCTTCTGCTCTCTTGGAATTCACACCTCCAGATCAGCTGCTAGAAGTGGGCCTCATCCTCCTTGATTGGATCCACCTCCTCATCTCCAGCCTGATCCTGGCCTGCATATTTATTCCTGCCTCTGGAAATTTCCACTACATGCATCTGACGAAGTGGGTCTTTGCCCACGAAAGCTTATGCTCCAACATTTCGGTTGGTCTATAAGGTGCCACAGGACTCCTCGCCGCTTTTGTATTTCAAATGTTTGCTTCTGGGAGATTATCAATGGGCTTCCCCCACCTATTGTGAGAGGGTAGCTAGTCAAGTGACTAGCAGCACTTCACTGACACTGCCCCTCACGTGGTACCAATCCACAGGGCTTGCCAAGCGGTGGCAAACCCCACTCACCAGCTGCGTGGTTCTGTGTTCTGTGCAAGAGGGCTTTTTCCCGAGTGGGAGCGGGAAAGTATTTGCGCAAGAAGTACTGATTTTGTACATTATTAAGTCAGTGTTCTTGCGCAAATTCAAGTGGCCAGTGTAGACAGCTGGCAAGTTTTTGTGCAAAATCTTGCCAGTTTAGATGCACCCCGTCTTTCAGCAATTCGCCCTGATTTGATCGTCTCACTGGTACCTCAGAAACTTGACATTTTCTAACTGCATCCCCTCACCCCGGGCACTGTACACATATTCCAAACCCCTCGACTCCACCCCCCACAGATGGTCCATGCTCGGAATGATTTGCGTTATGTGCACTAGGGATGTTAAATATCGGTTAACTGAATAGTTGAGTAACCTCGGTTAGTCGACTACTCTCTAGTCCGCGGGGGCAGAGATAGGGTGCCAGGCGGGAGCTGGTCCACAAGGCAAGCCAGTTTAAACCCAGATGCCCTTGGGGACCGGTTGCCTGTTGCCCAGTGGTGGTGCCTCTGATATGGCAGCTGACCATGTCCAAGGCGGATCTGAGCTCCTGGACCTGGCATGAGCTGGAACTGAGCCAGGCTGCCTGCCTGCCTGGCTCCTAATACACTTTCAATGCACGGCCTCAGCAGGAGTAGGATCTGGACCTGGCGTGAGCCAGAACTGAGCTGTGCTGCTGGCCAGCCTGCTAAAAAATGTCCTGGCAAGGATGGGGGGAGGGCAATGCGTGTCGTCTGTAGCATACACCTCTACGCTTTGGCTTATCCGTGAATTGACTTCACTATTACACCCCCATGTGCACCACTATTAAAGTTATGTGTCGCTGCAGGTGATTTCAAGTATTCACCCCTGGTTTCTAGGGATCAAAAAGCACTTGATGCTGGCAGTAAATCCCTCAAACTCTGTGTATTAGGATTCTGGGGGGAAGTTGCTGTAACCAGTGCCTGGAGAGGTAGGTTTCAAGCTCTCTTCGAGTGCCAGAGTGGGGAACAGCCCTGTGTGACGTCGTGGGGGTCGTGTCAGTCAGTCCTTGCTGTGTGTGTGTGAGAGGCTTAGCATGACCCACTGCTGATGGGTGTTGGGCCCAGACACCTGGGGGCCAGACACAGGAGATAACTCCTGACCAAAAAGAGACACAAAGGGCAGGCAGGGCTGCCCAGGCTGGCGGGGAGAGTCGCTGAGGAGTCAGTCTGGTCGGGGCTAGCAGGAAACAGGAGGCTTGGAGCAGGGAAAAGAGGGTGAGGGGCCCAGGAGCCCTTCCCCCCCGAGAGGAATAATGCTGTCTGGCCTGTGCTCACATCGATAATAAGCTGCGCTGTGTCTCTGAACCAATAAACCTTCGGTTCTACCTGCTGGCCAAGAGACATGTCTGGCTGTGGATGGGGTGCAGGGCCGGGGCCCCCGATACAGTAGTAGCAGAGGATGGTTTGACTGCACCCGTGGATGGAGCATCCAGCAGTGAGTGGGGCGCAGGAGAAGGAAGGGGGCTTGCAAGAGCCAGGCGCTGGAGGCAGAGAAACAGTTCCAGGAAGTGGAGGGGCAGGGGCTTAACCCAAGTGTGGCGTCGAAGGAGTGTTCTCCAGGACGGGGAGCGGCGCTCGAGGAGGCTGGAATACTCAGGGGTTCTTCCTGGGAATCGTGGGGCACTGCAGCATCGGCCGGTGTGTCTGCACCCGGGGAACGACAGGGAGATGGCCTACAGGCGCTGTGGAACTGTGCAAGGAGGGGGGCCTGCCCGTGGGGAAATTGACCAGCTAGTTGCCCAGCTGGAAGAGAATGATCGTTCCAGGGGGCTGGATCCTGTCCCAGCTGGGAGCAGCCAGACACCCCCAGGGAGCGTTTCAGGCTCTGAGACAGGAAGGGCTGGAGGCCGCCAGACTTCACCAGCAGCGGATCGTCCTGGGCGTGGTCCTCCTCGGCAGAGCTGCGAGGGCTGGAGAGTGAGCTGTGGCTAAAGGAATTGGAAGCACAAGAAAAGGAGCGCAAGGATGGTAGGGAGCAGCAGCAGCATGAGTGGGCCATGGCAGAGCCGACAAAGAGTGGGGCCCCGGCTGCAGTGAGTGGCCCAGGGGCGCAGCGTGCTGTCCCAGTGGAGGGATGTGGGGGATCCGGATGGATTCCTTAGCTCCTCTGAGCGAGCCTGCGAGCTGCACCGGGTCCCCCAGCCGACTGGCTCCAGCAGCTCTCCCCCGGAAGCTGGAGGGCTGCAGCCGGGGGATACGGACGGGTCACACAGGCCCTGCTGCACGACTTCGGGATGACCCCTGAGGCGCAGGCCCAAGTTCCAGGAGGCGCAGAAGGGCCCTGAGACCTACACAGACCTGGCCTCCCGCCTGCTGCAAGTGGGGGCTGGGGCCCAGACCGCAGGGGACCTGGCGACGCGGATGGTCCTGGGACGGTTCTATGAAATGTGCTCTCCCGACCTGAGGCTGCGGCTGAAGGACAGGGAGCCAGAGAACGCCCACAGAGTGGGGAAACTGGCTGATGAGACCACAGACAGCCAGTCTGGGGGTGAAAGGAGTCACGTTACTGGAGTTTAAGGGAAGCAGCCAGGTCACTGCTGCACCCCTGGGGGGTGTTTGCCCCAAAAGTGGGTACAAAGGGGCCCTGTGAGGTGTCAAACAAAAGCTACTTTCTTCTGAGTCTGTGTCTGCTCTTCATAGATCGGTTACTGTCCGTGTGGAGTTAGGAATATGGACTCTGTGTGGAGACGGGACAGGACGTTTCTCTGCATGTGCTTGAGCAATGGGCTCAGCCTATGGACATGCTAATTAGCAAGGCTCCAGGGACAACGGGCCTCCTAAGTACCAGAGACCCACCTGGGAAGGAATCCAGGTGCCTGGCCAGAGACCATGTGACTGTCTCCAGCTTGGAAGAAGCCGGGCGGGGGGGAGATAAAGATGTCATGTGGCCGACTCCATCTTGGTCCTCAGATCTGCTCCTGACCCCAGATGCGGCCTCACAGGGAATCACGAGCCGGGAAGAACTGTGGGCCCATCTGGATACAGGATATACACCAAGGACTTCTAAGCCAGCAGCTGTAACATCTCTGCTAGAGCCTGCCTCGAGAACTGGGAGATTCGATGCATGTAACGTACGATCCTTTAACAACCTCACTCTCAGGCTTTTCTTTCTTGTAATAATAAACCTTCAGATGGTAGATTCCAAAGGATTGGCCCAGCGTGATTTGTGGGCAAGGTCCAGAGGGCAAATTGACCAGGGATCTGTGGCTGGTTTCTTGGAACTGGACAGAACATGTTCGGGGTAGGTGGGATTGGGCTCTAACATCCCTCATCTGTGTATGAGGCCCGGGGCCATCTGGGGCACGGATATTGCTGGGGTGTCGGAGGGGTTTTGCTCAGGAGGCTTCAGGCAGGCAGCTGAAGCGCTCTGTGGGACTGGTGTGTGGCCTGTTTGGAGAGGTCACCAGTCTGGGGGCTAAGAAGACCCGAATTTGAGCAATTCGCCCTGAGCGGACGCCCTCAGCTGTGCCCAGACCAGCCTGGTCCGTCACAAAAGG